TTGGACACTTCCAGGGATCCAGGGGCAGCTACAGCTTCTCTGGGCAACCTGGGCCAGGGCCTGCCCACCCTCATGGTAAAAAAATCCCTAAATGATGTCGGACAACAATTAAAACAGATTTATCTGTGAAACCAGATAAATGTTTATGCTTTCCCTCTTTCCCAAGCCTTTTCCCCTCCTGGCTGATGCTGCAGAGGGATCTCAGCAAGCTCTGGTTGCTCCCTCCCTTTCTCAGGCTCCTGGCACGTTTGGAAGGGATCAGTCTGCCCCCAGGGAACAACTCTCCCAAAAAAAAGCTGCTGGCAGGCGGGTCACAGCTCCCTCCACCTGCACAGAAAACCTCTCTCACAAAATCCTGGAGGAGAGTCCTAGAGAAGCATCTCTGGGCTTTAAGAGTGGCTTTGCTCTGAGAGAAGGTACAGCCCAAAATATCAGAGAAGAAGAGCAGGGAGGCCTCAGTCCTGAAACAAGGCAGGTCTCAGCATTCCAAGGGTTCAAGAATCATAAAAATCATAGAAATGTGGAATGGCTTGGGGAGAAGAGACCTTAAAGATCATCTCATTCCACCCCCTGCCATGGGCAGGGACACCTTCCACTAGCCCAGGTTGCTCCAGACCCCATCCTTGAACACTTCCAGGGAAGTGGGGAAGTTTTCAGACACTGGGACAACCAGAGCAGGTTCCTCATCACACCCTGAGGCCACTTCCAGCCATTCCTTTCTGTCTCCTCCTCACCTTCCACACCAAATACCTACAAGAACCCCCCACTCAACACTCTGCCTCCCCTTCCTAAGAGTGTTTGGGCCAGGCTCACACTGCAGGGGGAGCAGGGGGGGTCCTCTTTCAGGCTCCTTCTCTCCTCTGCAGCCCCCCAGGCTCACACTGCAGCCCCTGTGGCAACGAGGGGCCAACAGATCCATCTCAGGGACCACGGGCAGCTTTTCCAGCTGATCCCTCTGCCCTCTTTGCTGTCAGAGACAGGCTGACATGATTACAGGGCCAAGGCACCGTGGCCTCCTCTCTGCACAACAAGAGGGGTCATTTTGCCAGTCATTTTGCTGACAGCAGAAAGCAGCCCAGGGGACACGGGTCGGGTGCAGGCAGGAAGGGTCCACCCGTGGGAATCCCACTGACAGCTCCCTTTCCAGGAACATCCACCCCACTGGCCAGAAAGAAGCAAAACTGGTGTGAATTCAACAGCCAAAAAGACAAGGGACAAGACCTACTCCAAGGACAGCCCAGCCCAGCATGTCCCCCCCTCCCACAGCAGCCAAACAGGAGTGTGGACAGCACCACGTGCAGGGATGGTTTTCCAGTCTGTCACCACTCCAGACTCTGGATTTGGACCCTGTGTTCGTGCTGTGCTGATGAATTTGGACTTTAGAAACAGATTAAAAATGCAGATAGAGGCAGATCCTGGAGCAGCTGAATGTCAGCCCTCTAGGTCTTCATTTAAAATCAACTCCAGCTTCGTTTCAATGCCATCCTCGGGCTGGGGCTTAGCAACCATTTCCACTTGTATAAACAAGTGTATCCATATTTATGCCACCCCAACAGGAAACAAAAAGTCATCAATAAAGCATCTCATTTCTCCAGCTGGAGCAGCAACACAAGGAGCAACAGCAGGAGCAACAGCAGGCACTGGAAGAGCACCTCCCTGAGGCTCTGGGATACAGAGCATCCAGCCTGGAGAAAGACACTCTAAACGATGGCATCCTTGGGAATGTTT